GCTTTCCTTGGATGTGGTAGCCGTTTCTCAGACTCTCTCTCCGGAATCGAACCCTGATTTCCCGTTACCCGTTACAACCATGATATTGATAGTAACTACTATCATAACATGAAACTAGAAAGTAAAAAATAAATATAGTTTAAAAAAACTAAAAAACACGCTTTTAAAGCACATTGAACTAAAAATTATTTTTAACTTTTTAGTTCGATGCGCTTTAAAAGCGTGTTTTTTAGTTTTTTTTAACTATATTTATATATAGGTATACGTATAATATAAATTGACAACAAGCACCACAGTAAAAAAAGAACAACTCCGGAAGAAAATATTTGATTATTATATTATTAACTATTTTCTTTAATTCGAACACTGTACGTATACGTATGTAACGATGTTGTTGGTAATATTCGTAGTAACCACCCTCGTCGCAATCCACAAACAAGGGAAAACAAGAAAGCATAAAAACAGCACAAAAGAAAGACTAATCAGTTTAGGTTCACGTCCGAAACGCAACAGAACGCAATATCCGTAATCCATACTCGGCGGCGGCCTTATCTCGGTGTCAAGGGCGGGGAGACAACCGATTGTCATATTAATAGCTGGACGGCTGATATCGAGAGAGACACGGGTGAGTGCCAGCCTAAAGCGACGGACGGTGCCGTGTCATATTTTATTATTCATTTAAACATTCATTAGCTTCTGTAATTATATTAAATAAAGTAATTACCAGTATGTAGCTTTTCTTCACGATAATCATGTCTAAGAAATTATAAAATAACTTATTGTACATATATTTGTTTTTGTAAAATATAGAAAATAGAGTAGGGTGCAATTAAAAAGGAGAGTAGAATGGAATTGATGTCCTTTAGTAAGAAATAATAATTACGTGTTAAGTAAAACAAATATTTCTAATATTTAAAAATAGGAACTAACATAAAAAATTTAAAAAAAAATGAAACACAACCAGTTTCGTGAATTTTTTCATTCATGTAGGAATGATTGTAAATTTAGTTTTGTAGTAATTAGCAAAATTCATCCATGAGATGAAGACAGGTATTGTAAATGTTTCGATACTTTTGCAATAATATAATGTCATGTAATAAGGGGATGTTTTCAGTATTCGATTAACAATGGACGGAAAATCTAATAACGAAATATTAAGACAATTGGCCGAGGCAGAGCAAAATATTAAACGAAAATTCCAATCATTGCAAAACGATGATGCTGCTAATGAGGTTTACATGAAATGTACATTAAACCGATTATGGAACCTTAAACGAGCTGACAATGGTTTGAAACGTTACTACGTTTTTACTATTTTAAGTTTGTTTTTTATTAACTTAAATTTATCAATAATACGAAAATACAATGCAAATTGTTCAAATAATCAATTTATTTTGTTTTATTTTAAAAAAGACGAATATATACTAAACAGTTAAAGTAAATAATTAAAATTAATTCAGTTCTGGATATTTCAATAGTAGAATCTTTTTAAATATCAAAAATTACTTAGAAATGATTACTATGATTTCTATTTAAGTGTTCTATTACGATAAAAATGCAAAAAATAATGAGTTTTTCTGATAAATTTACAATAAATATATTAAATATTAAGATGTAAGGAATAAATAAAGAAACTTATTCGGTAGAGCGGTGTATGCACGTAAACTAGTCGGCAATTAATATTGCAATCATTAGTATAAAATAAATAACTTTAACACTGTTATAAAAAAAACATAAAGAAGAACAAGAAGAATAATAATTGTACAAGCAGTGAAGGTGTACTTTATACTACCCGTCATCACCTTAGTAGTATAGACCAACTTGCCAATTGAGCTAAAAGTTATGGTAAAATAAATAATTTTTTTTTTGTTATAAACTTTCACAAAATTCAACTTTAAACGATTAAAAAAATAGGTAAAATATGTCATTTTCCTTATTTTTAACATATTTATAATCAAAATCAGTATTAATTCAAAACAATTTTTTTTTGTTCTTAATTATTTTTTTTATATGTAAATACTTATTTTTTAATAATATTAAAACTTAGAAGTGATAGAAAAAGTCTAATTGAATATTTAAAATCACGAAAAGATGATTTAAAAAAGTATATTTTTGTTTCTGATGAAAGTTCCTTGTAGTCCAGTGTATAAAACTTATAACTTTGTTAACTGTTAACTTTATCAAAAATGACCAAATCAGTATAAATTTTTTTTATTTAAATGCATGTCTTTACCTATCATTTGGTATATTTTTTTATAAATTTGACCATTTACCTGCCCTCAAGAGGGATTCAAAATGATAACTTTTAGCTTCGAAGCTGAGAAGACATTAATTTTACTATGATGTGTTTTTTTTTTGTCTGTTACCACTTTTTCTCAGCTCTCACCGAACCGATTTCTTTCAACGATACATCAAAGATCACAAATCATATCTGGTCGATGACATTACATTCAAAAATTGAAAAAATATCCCTCGTTCCCCGTAAATAGGAGAAACCTCCAAAAAAATTACAAATTTAAAAATCGCTAATTTTCGAAATTCTTATAAATGCAAAATTAAAAAATTGATTAATTACTTATGTTACTCAATGATATTTGTATTTATAGTTAATGTATTATATGTTGTGTTATTATTAATTTGAGAATTTAAGATTAAATTTAATAATTTAGTGTGTTTCCTTTTTAACACGCTTTTATTAGTTTCACGTGTATGTTTGTTGTTGTTTGTTGTTTGTTGTTTGTTTGTAAGTTTGTAACTCTCCAAACGCCACGCGTTATCGCATATTCCGTTGTCTAGACTAGACTGTTATACGCATTCACCCCTCCCCACGCCTCGCTCACAATACGACGGTACACTATTCCTATAAAAATTTATTTTTAGTTATCGTACCCGTACACGCGTGCTTGTCATCAATATTATATATATGTAAACAAATTTTTATTTTGACTGACCAATAACGCCCGCGTCNCACGCCGTCTTTAAAACTCACACCATCACGTTGTGAATCAGCCCAAAATTAATCAAGAGCTGATTCACAACGTGGTGTGGCCTCCCTCGTTAGCCGGATCCCAGAGTGGGATCCGTTGCCCAGGTTGCACCACGTGGAGGTGGGGGCAGGACTTTGCGAAGGGGGCACAAATAACTCACGAAACAAAAACATAAAACACGAATACCTAAGGCGCCGGCCTAAACCAGCGCCTTAGGTCCTCCTGTACCGGACGGCGCGGCTGCCTCTGTCTCAGGCGTTCAGCTTCCTCCTTCTTTTTCAAGACGGACTCGGCGAACGCCTGGACGAGCCTCCACGCCTCCCGGCTTCCCAACATCAGGTCCACCAAGGACCCGACTCGGAGCGTGGACCCCAGACGGGACTCCAAAGAGTCCCGTTCCTGGGCCCACGCCTCGTACCGAAAGAGGGTGTGCAGTGTTGTCTGTCTCTCCCGGGCGATCCCGGCAGTGGTCGCACGTAGGCAGGGCTGTTTTCCGAATACCGTGGAGGTATTCGTTGAAATTGAGACGTTGGCCAATGCGTTATTTTTTCGGCATTCTTGATACAGCTGGTATAAAAGCTATGTTTTATATTTGCTAAAGAAAGGAGATGGGACGCGTTACAATCGAGCCAGTTTTTTGAAAAACCTTGCATTTCAACTCACAGAACCTTTTATGAGACAACGAATCAATAATGAGAAGCTCCTTAGGATACTTAGGGATGACATTCGGAAGGTTTTGGGTATAGCAGCTCCTTCTGCAACAGAGCAGCCTCTGACAGGTTCTAAAAAATATAAGCTGTACAACTTTTGTGATCGAAATAAGGACAAAAAGACAAAGAGTTCCTGTTCAAAATGCAAATTACCGATTTGCAAAGAGCATGAGAAGGTAACTAAGTACTGTTATAAATGTTTTGAAGATTTTCCGGATGATACTAGTCTGATTTAATTATTTTTATATATTACATGTGAAATTTAATTTTTTTTTTCTAATGTTACTAGTCTGATATAGTTATTTCATAAATTTTTATGTTGGTACATTTTTCAAAAAGTTAAGATTATAAAAAAGAATTTTTTTACAAAAATCGTATTTTTTTTATTAACTTTGATGTCTGTTTTTACCATAAAGATAAAATAAAGTCCGAAATTTTTTTTTTTCATAATTAAGTATATCACATTAACTTTAATTTAAGATATATATAAAAGTTGAAAAAGTTGTCATTTTAAATCCGCCCCTGTGGGCAGGTAAATGGTCAAATTTTAAAAAAAATATACCAAAAGATAAGTAAAGACATCGTTCATCTATAAAAAAAAAAATATTATATTGATTTGGTCATTTTTGAAAAAGTTATGACAGTTTTAAAAAAAAAATTGAAAAAATTTCGAAAATTAGCGATTTTTAAATTAGTAATTGTTTTGGAGGTTTCCCCCATTTACGGGGAACGAGGGAAATTTTTTCAAATTTTGAGGGTAATGTCTTCGACTAGATACGATTTGTGATCTTTTGACGTATCGTTGAAAGAAATCGGTTCGATAAGATCTGAAAAAATGTGGTAACTGACACAAAAAAATAAATAAAAAATAAAAAAAAAAACACAACATAGTTAAACTTCGGATCGAAGCTAAAATATCAATTCAATTAATATGACAAATTTATAGATAAATCATTGACTGACTAATGGAAAAGAACTAGTAATTGTTTACCAAAATTCGAGTACAAACATAAATTCCTTCATATCATATTTTACAAGTTTTTATTTGTAGAATTACCCAGAACTTGTAACTTTATTTCTAATAATTTCTTACCGTACAAGTATGATTTATGTGTACATTCAATTTATGATATAAAAAGCAAATATATATTTATATTTTTAAATATATTACCGAGAATAACAAGAATTATTTGTTTTAAAAGGTACACATAAGATTGTTGAATATTACAAAAAACTAATTTTATTTTTGTGTGTTACCTTGTTTTAATCTTTAAAAATTCAATAATAAAAGTTTAGAAAATAAAATTTAATAGTTCAATTTTATAGAGTAATTGAAGTTTTATTTTATATAAAATTTATTGAATTAATATTTTTTAGTTCCTAAATTTTGCTTTATCCATTATATATATAATATGTATTATCAAATCAGCAAAGTATTTATTATTTTAAGCAGTTTTGTTCTAGAAATGGCTTTTCTTCCAACAAAAGATAAAAATAATGAAACTATTTTATCAATGGTAATTATATATATATATATATATTAATAACACTCATAAATTTAAATTCAATGAATTATTGCTAATATCATATTATGAATTATAATAATATAAATTTTTTTTAAATGAAATTGCATAATTGAATCTTATTTTAAATATTTCTTTCATTTATATATTATAATATACAACGTGAATGTATTAATTTTATTGCTGCTAATCTAAAACTTAAGCTCTACATTTACCTTTGAAGGTATTATTTATATATATAACGAGTCATTAAGATATGACAAATAATCATTTTGTGATTGAACTAAGCTAAAAGTATAATTTTATTTTAAGAGGACGTTCTAGTAAAAACGATGCGCATACAACGCTCCAGAGATGGCATTGTGTTCCACATCGGCGGCAAGGTCAGACCGTGATGCCACACAACCACACGCTACCTGACAGTGATTAAAATCATTATTATAAATAAATGTAGTATAAAAAAATTAAAAAAACACGCTTTTAATTTTAGACTCAACACATCATTTGCGACGGGTCATCGTCGGCCGTGCGGCATTTGCTGGACTTTACACCGTTGCATATGGTCACTTATACTAATAGTAGGGCGATGGCTGATAAAGGTGGCACGAGTGACGGGGCCGTGTCTCAATAAAAATTTATTTATATATATATAATATAATTGGTGACACGCGCGAGTCTACGGGTTGGAAATTATTATTGTCGACATATGGTAGGCGGTGTGGGGTGAATGCGTTACGAGTCGTAATATATATCATATTTTACAAATTTTTATTTGTAGAATTACCCAGAACTTGTAACTTTATTTCTAATAATTTGTTACCGTACAAGTATAATTTATGTGTACATTCAACATATGATGTTTATATTATATATTTTTGAGGGTAATGTCTTCGTCTAGATACGATTTGTGATCCTTTGACGTATCATTGAATGAAATCGGTTCAGTGAGAGCTGAGAAAAACTGGTACCAGACACAAAAAAAAACACATCATAGTAAAACCAATACCTTCTCAGCTTCGCATCGAAGCTAAAATTAAAAGCATGTTTTTTTAATTTTTTTATACTATATTTATTTATGATAGTGATTTTAATCACTAACAGTTAGCATGTATACTTGTTCCAATTATACCACGTCCCTGTTGTGCTGGTTTTTTTTAATAATTAGTATGTTTTTATATTATTTAGATTGAAGTTAAACCAATGAACGTTTACTTTGAACTTAAAAAATATATTAATCATATGTTAATTAATGACTCTTTGAATGAAGATTATGAAGATAATGTACTAATGGCAAAAAGAATTACAGATCACACGATAGTTAGAGCTATGATTCAGAACGATAAGGTTTTAATTGAAAATATACTAACAGAATGTAAAGGTAATAGTGAATTTACATTTAAATTAAAAAATTTAGTTTAATAAGTAAAACTGCAACCAAATAATATTTTTCCAAGTTAAAAATCATCTTTATTGTATTTATAGAAATTATATTTGTTTAATTTCCAAAAAATTGTTTGTTCTTATTGTTTTCAGAAATAGGAGATGATCTTAACTTTGTAGACTATATTTCTCAATTGCGGAACAAATTTATTAATAAAATTTATAATCGAGACAGTTTGAATTATCCAGAAAATGAAGATGAAATATTGAGGATTATATTTAAATATTATTCTAATGATTCAGATTTCGTCTCAATGCCAGTATTTTTAGATTTTTTGATAAATGAAAATATTAAACTGGATGAAAAGGATAAATTATACGATAATACAGATGACCAATTAGACTTCAACAGTAATTATTTAAGAATTTTTTTAAATTATGTAGTAGAGAAAAATTTGATTATTATTGCATATAAGTTGATATATGTGAAGCATAATGAAATTTTACAAGATAATAATGTTAAGTTTTATTTTACACGTCATATGAGTAATTATACTATTGATCCACGATATTCCTAATTAATGGTTGGTATCAATAGCTTTATAAACAAAGATCATGTGGACCAATAATAAAACTTAACCTAAAATAAATTACTTAATCTTTATATTATAAACTTATATATTTCATGATGGGGATACAAAATAATTCTCTCTCTAATTTTTGGGTGCTGAATGAGACTATCTAGCCTCCTTCATACATCACATGAGCTATAAACTGACTGAGTTATCCAAGCTGATGAAAATGCTACTTTTGATTAAATTCTCTGCATGAGGCAAAAGTAATGGTAGGACTGTAGAATAATATTAACTTTCTTCACATTGTTTTAGTAGCAATGTGATTTTATTTGAAAGCATAACTGATAAATGATATTCATATTGTATGAGCATACTTATCAACAAACTACTGTGTAAAGTTCACGAGCTTATAGGTTAGAGAGAGAACTTATATCACAGAAACCTTAAAATGTTCTGACTACAACAACAGCAGCAGCTGATAACTATGGTACAAGTGGGTATTTCCTCATATCAATTACTATCAACTAGAGATGAGCATATGCTGAATTAATAACTCTTTCAACAGGTTCAAACCAGGGATGTTATGTTTTAACAATACTTGTTTAAAATAAAATTTTTACCGTGTTTAAAGCACCAAAAATGTCAACATGTACATTGGTTTTATGAGATGTTTTAAATTATTTATTTATGTTTTAAACAGGTTTTTTTGAATATCTTTTAAAATCCCTGGTTTAAACAATTACTGAAAAAACTTCTTTGCAATAATAATAATTATTTCAATAAGTATACAATATGATATGTTTTTGTACACGCTATAATAACGAATTTATTTTCAGGTTTTTTTAAGTTGATGAAACCCCATTTGAATGACTATTTGCATACACTGTCATTAACTAAAAGTTTAACAATACAAGATATTATTGTTAGTTTGGATTCTAAATATTTTATTATTACAAAATAGAGTTACTAATAAAAATCTACTGAAAAAATAAAATATATTTATTACAGAATTTTTATTTATCTACTTTTTTTATATGATAAATGAATGTTGGAAATAATATTTTGATATTAGCTTTCTATTAGTTGTTATTTAAAGTCAGTGCAATTAAAAATATTACACAAATGTGATATTATTATTTTTAAAGTTTTAAATATGCAAAATAAAGTTAACATTATTATTATTCTAACAAAACACCATCAGGATAATAATATATATATTATGTATTTGATGCATAGTGACGTGTTTAACGAGAGTGGTTGACGTCATCGGTTATAAATGTTCGATCAGACAACAACTCAGTAATATTTAAAAGTTGAATCGATATTTTCGAAAAACATAACCATTTTAATATACCTTGGGACTCTATAGTCGTACCTATTAATTTAGATAAAGATTTTATATATAATGTATTCGAATAATACAGTAATAATATTACCAACAGTTTCTAAGTTACAAACGATTTTATATACATATTTTCAAAAGTAGCCGTCAAGGTTGCGTCGGTGTAACACTATGGTGTTATCGGTCGAAGGCGGCCAGAAGTTTCAAGTCATGTTATAAACACAAAATACTTATAATTTTGCTAATTATAATTAGCAAAACTATTTTCGCTTCTGTAAAATTAAAGAGTGACATGTATTTTATTGTGCTGGCTTTGACTAGGAGAAAACGATGTTGTTGACGTATTAATAATTTTGGTAACATTGTAACGTTCATCTAAACTTTGATTATTTGAATTAATATCCAACGAAGATGGATCAATATTATCGTAAAGTTTATGGTGCCTATGCGCTAATACGTTGCCGGGTTTGATGAACAAAAATATCATACACTGAAAAATAGCTACTATCACTGTCAATGATTTACCTATTTAGTGTCCAGTATTTAAATGGTTAAGAAATCTTCTCTTAGGAAGAGGAAGTATATATCTAAGTGCTAAGCTTTTATAAACAAAAATGTATACAACATAAAAATCAAAACTAAACTTTTTTATAACTTTTTATATAGTAACAATTTTTACAAATCATAAAAAAAATTCATCTTACTTCCAAAAATATAAAAATTCAGTTACAAAACTTTTTTGCCTCATTTTTTGTTTACAAATGATTCAATAACTTTTCAGTATTGATTCTTGGAGCAATTTGTTTTCAATGGCAAGTACTGTTCATGAAGACAATTTATTTTGTCCAATAGTTGATCGCGTCCAATTCTTAACCCTCTATAAAATCGAAAATGATACTTTGTTTTCGCATGAAGTTCCAAAAATCGATAAATATATTCTGAAATCAATGTTTAAATTTTGATTATTATTGTTTCATTATTATTTCATTGACAGATATTCCAGTTTCTCTAAATATCTTAAAGATTAAAAACTCATCAATAAATTATAGCGTTACGATATAGCTTTATTGCCGTTTTTCAATTGCAATTCGTTGGATAGCGGCGCTATCATAGCGCTGTTTGTTAACTTTTATTCAAAAGAACATAATGTAATGTACCTTTTGTTTAATAAAATAGATATTATTGCTTGTAAATCTTTATATATTGCATATCAGCCCAATCGGGAACTCGTAATTTAAATAAGATAAACAAATTTTAATGAATCAAAATAGAAGTTTCGAGATTATTCGAGAAACTTCTAGAATAATCTTTACACAAATAATTATCAATTTTAAATACTTTTCTGACCGACTATTATTTTATTACTTGTTACAAATACATCGTTCATTTGGAGCGATGTTTACATTAATGTCCATCTTTTTAATTACCATAAGCGTATCTGTGGCGCCCAACAGACGGCAAGATTAAATAGTTAAATTTTTAAGAAAAACTAGCCTTCCTTAATCACTTTACCAACTAGTTTAATATAAAAGGGCTAGTAAAATTAGCACAGACTCTCTCTTTCTTTTTTATCTCTCTCGCATACTCTCACTTTCATTTTCACTTATTATTCCCCCATAATCTTACACTTTCATATTAAAAGTTAATAATGTAAAATTCACTTACACGTTACTTTTGTTAATTTTAATTATAAGACTTATATATATTTGTCAAAATAATTAATACAAGTTATAGAAATAAACTCAGTATGTTGCCCCTCATATCAGTATTTTTATTTATTTAAATTAACTTAAAATATCGACGTCAACAAGGAACATCACAATTCACCATCTATCTACGAATCCATTTGGACATCAAGGTAAGTGTAGTCTTAAGACATGCACTATATTCATGTAATATTAATAAATAGGACAGAGTGGGTAAGAGGTAGGATTAAGATGATATGAATGAATCTAACACAATCCAAATAACTTATAATCCCTTTCCTACTATCTCTATCTCATCGCTTTCCCTTATTTTATTTTTATTACAAAATGCACATTTATTTCTTACAAAATATTAAAAAATAAAAAATCAGTAAACACTAATCTACACTACCCAAGTTGTGGTAGGCGGTATAAAGTACTCCCTCACTTTTTTTTAACTGCCATTTACTTTCTTTCTCTCTATTTGGTTAATAAAACTAATCTAGTGATCGCGATTTTTATAGCCAACTAGATATATTTCTCTCCTAAATCTTATTCATTTAATATATAGTATTTTTATCGGTGATCATAACTATATTGATTTATCATTACCAACCATGTACAAAGTTTTTTATATTAAATTTTCTTTTAAAATAGTTAGTTAATCTTTAACGGTAATGATAACCTTCGTGATATCAACCGTGATCAAGATTACTGGCTTCTCTCTAAAATCCTTTTAAGCCTTTGCAACGTTTCTCGTAACAACGGGTTACCAACCGTGATCCAAAGGGTTATACTTCTCTCTTTATCTAAATTAATTAGTTCTTAAAGTAAGACTGATATGCTAGGTAATCAGTATAGATATATTTGTTTCTTTTAAAATAAAATAAGCTGGTTAATTGAACAAAATTGTTTTGTGATTTCGTATTATTGATAATTTTAAGTTAAGTAATATAAACTCAAAAAGAGTACGTAAGTAGAAACGTTTCAAAATACAGATTCCAAATCGATCTTATAGGCTTCGACTAAATTATTTCTCTTTAATTTTATTTCTTCATCTTTTAAATTCTCGTTAGTTAAAATATTTAATCTTTCGTCTAATCTTAACTAAGCATTTTTTTTATTTCTTCGATCAATCCGTATAAAGTTAATTAGTCTGGTTATTGGATGGAAAACTATCGATATTATACTGCCAACTTTTATAAGGAGATCAAAAGAATGAAATTATTTATAAGTTGAAATAATTATAATCAAAAAGACTATAAATATTATTATTTAGATCAAATCGGTAGGATAAAATACTTACTAGTATACGAACGACGCTTCATCGGTTTATACATTCTGATTTTTATGGGTAATCACTTCAACAAATATTGAGAAAAATATACGAGTTATGTTATTATTTTTGTCTATAAAATATTAAATACTTAATATCTTACTTATTGTGCTAACATATGTAGATAGTTTATAAACTTATAATAATAATAAAATAATATGAAATTTACAAAAAATTGTATCAACACATTTTTCTAGGCCATAAAATGTTTGCAAATTTAAGCACAGTGCTTATAGTGCCTATGCGTTAATATACAGGGTGATTCATTAAGGATAAGACACTCATTTTCTCGGTAATTATTGAAAATTTTTAATTTTTAGTAAGGTAAATATTGTTTAATTCAAAAATAATATGTAGTAAAATCATAATATTTTTCATCCCTTCAAGATTAAAAAACTGAGTGTGGTACTTGTGAAGTGTCGACAGAAGTAACTACTTCCTTTAGTAAGCCATTACTGTATGCTTTTAATAAATTACGTTAGCAAATTATTCCTTGCATAGTTGGTATTACTGACACCGTAATTTAGGCTGACAATATGTATATGTAAGTATATAATCATATATTTCAGAACTCTAATAATTAAAATTTGTTAACTAATAACTAAAAAAAAATTTAAAACTCGCACACCTTTCAAAATTAAAAAAAAAAAATAGTTAAAAAAATTGTGCAAAAAATTTCTGAGCTTATACGTAGTCGTATAAGAAATTTTTATTTAGAAGTAAAGTTGAATAGAACGAAAATTCCCACCGCTATTTTATTTTTACTTCAACTTATTTTCTACTTTTAAATTACGTCATAATCAAGAATTCAAATGCTCCTTTATATTTTTTTGTATACAAAATATTTTTCTAAGATTTTTGGTTTAAACAATTATTATTAATTTGTTTTTAAACAAATAATTTTTCAAAATTTATCTATTCCTATATTCATTCAAAAACGAAGATTTTATAATTTAGTATTAAAAAAGAAAAAAAAATCTTTGAATTTTATATACAAAATTAAGTTATAATTTTAACAAAATCATAAAATTGTAAACTTATCTTTGACTTACATGTTGTTTTGTTTGTATCATTAAACATATATCATTATCATCTTAGTTATTTATAATATTATGGGTGTTCGATACTATACTTTATTATATGTAAATATACTAAGCAATCAATTGCTTAGCAGAAATGAGCAATTACACAAAGTTTTACATAAAATTATAATTATTTGTTTTATTTTTAGTTTTATTATATTCTGTATTTTTATCGTATTGTATGTTGATTGAAATAAAATACATTATAGGACAGATATCAGTTCAAAGGTGTATATTAGAGGTTAGCAAGTTTTCAAGTAAATATTCAGAAAGTGTTGCAGCTTATAGAAAAGAAGCAATTGTTAGACGTGAACTATCTGATAACTTTTGTTTTTATAATCCAAAATATGATAGCATTAAGAGTGCAGCAAATTGGGCACAAACTACACTTAATGAACATAGGTAGATAAACTTAAAAATATTTATAAATCTACTTTATTTTTTCATTAATTATGATGTATACTTTCAGAGAAGACAAAAGAAAATATGTTTATACTAGAGAAGAACATGAAAGTTTACAAACTCACGATGATTTATGGAATTCTGCACAAATTCAGCTGGTTAAAGAAGGAAAGATGCATGGCTTTCTTCGTATGTATTGGTCAAAAAAAATATTAGAATGGACAGATACACCAGAATGAGCTCTTGCGGAATCAATATACCTTAATGACAAATACAGTATGGATGGACGAGACCCAAGTGGTTTTGTTGGAAGCATGTGGTCAATCTGTGGAATACATGATCAAGGATGGAGAGAAAGGGAAATTTTTGGTAAAATAACATATATGAATTATGACGGATGTAAAAGAAAGTTTGATGTAAATGCATTTGTTACAAGATATGGTGGGAAAGTTCATAAATATGTTAAAAAATAATTTTTATACTATAACCTTAATATTGTATGTATGTACAATATTTAATTAATGCGTATTAACAATTTATTTTATAGCTTTCTTATTTGAGTTTTATTTTTAATAATTAAAATGTTGTGAAAAATAAAAATTATATGTGAATTTGATTGTATTTTTATTATTAATTTTTCACTATAAAATCTATAGTTTATAAAACATATTAAGTAATAACTTTTTTTTTTATAAAATACTTGTTTATGAAATATTTATTTATCAAGTTTATAAAAGACCTTTAAGCATTTTGTATACAATAAAGTTTATACAATAACAGTTATTTTATATTCTAAAATATTAAATATGATTTTATTTTTAAAAATAAATATTGGTATTTATTGCTATTATAGGTTAATAAACACAAGAATGATAAATTGAGTTACTCATTATTAATTTCGCAAAATTTAACCAATGTTCAAAATTTATTATTATAAGAGTAAGAGAAAAGTGATAAATTAAAAAATTCAATTTATAAATTATTATTTTTATTTAGTGAAATAAACTGATTAATGAATTTATGATAAATTATAGAATACATTATAGAATACATTATCGATTAAAAAGTAAAAACACATCACACAATTTTTATCCAATTTCCCAAAGAGAAAAAAAATATTTTTAACAAAATTATAATATATTAAAAATTAATGTTTATTTTACAAGTTAAATTAAAAAATATAGAGGTTCAGGATACCATTTAAAACATTTTATGAAAAAATAAAAACATGCACTTTTTAATATTTATAATATATTTTAGATAATCAAATAAATTTAAAACAAAATTCTACAAATAATAAAAATATATCAAAAACAAATATATGTATTAAAATATACTACTAGATATAAAATAAATATATAAAAATATGATAATTAATAAATGCAAAGAAAAATTATTGAATAAAATTTTAGACTCCGAAATGTTAAAAGATTCATATATATTTTCCTTATTGGGAGCATCAGACACTTTTCCCTCATTGGCAACATTCTCCTTAATTGGTGCTTCTGGCTCCAAATTGTTTAATGATATGCTTTTATTTTCTATTGTTTCGAAGTTTAGTATCAACTCTTTTGTCTCACCTATTATAGTCTTTGAATCGGGGAAAGAGATGGAATCTAAATTAATATTTACATCCTCTTTAATGGGAGTAACAGACACTTGGTCATCTTTGGGAACATGTAATGATTCATCCCAAAAAAATGTGTAGCCTTCATCTTCCATTTGTTTTGAATCGGGGTAAGAGTTGGGATCTAAATTAATATTTATATCCTCCTTAATGGGAAAATCAGACACTTGGTCATCTTTGGGAACATGTAATGATTCATCCCAAAAAAATGTGTAGCCTTCATCTTGCATTTGCTTAGAATCGGGGTAAGAGTTGGGATCTATAAAGATATTTACATTCTTCTTAGTGGGAGCATTAGACACTTGGTCATCTTTGACAACATTCTCCTCAGTTGGTGCTTCTGGCTCCAAATTGTTTAATGATATGCTTTTATTTTCTTTTGTTTTGACGTTTAGTATCAATTCTTTTGTCTCACCTATTATAGTCTTTGAATCGGGGAAAGAGATGGAATCTAAATTAATATTTACATCCTCTTTAATGGGAGTATCAGACACTTGGTCATCTTTGACAACATTCTCCTCAGTTGGTGCTTCTGGCTCCAAATTGTTTAATGATATGCTTTTATTTTCTATTGTTTCGACGTTTAGTATCAATTCATTTGTCTCACCTATTATAGTCTTTGAATCGGGGAAAGAGATGGAATCTAAATTAATATTTACATCCTCTTTAATGGGAGTA